TTTGGCATCTGTGGGAAGAGTATGGCGTCGGATTACGGTTTAGGATGTTGGTGTCGGGTTTACAGTTTAATTTTGGGTTTGGCATCTGTGGGAAGAGTATGGCCTCGGATTATGGTTTAGGTTGCAGGGTTCGGAGTGTTGTTTCCCCTCAAGTGGTTTACGCTCTCCCAACTTGGACATGCCAGGCGAGGTCTTTCAGGTGCAAGTCGGCACGAGACATAGTGTAGCCCCCTGTGACTCGTACTATGCAGTGTAGGGCAGTTAAACTACCAAGAAAGCCACAATGAGGCATCCAGCAAGTATCTTTACATTTGCAAAGGCCTTGCTACCCGGTAGGTTAGCAAGCACCTGCAAAATCCGCTAAACCCTAAACACCTTAAATCCGGCCAGGGGAACTATCATGCCTAGAATCAAGCAGCTCTTCGACTCCAAACTCCAACGGGGTTGAGAGGGTTCTGACTTTGGACATCTCTGTGAGACCAGAAGTGGTTTAGGTTGTAGGTGTCTTATCGACACCGCCCCAACAATCGCGATCAGAGTGGTGGTAGCAGGCAGAACGTACTATGAGGCTGCGCTCGGCTCGTAGCATCCTCAAAATAGCTTACACCTCGATACTGCCGATCCCAATTCTTGAAACCCTGTTTTCAAGCAAGTTGGAACCTATAGTTCAAGATGCGCACAAACAGCGCTGTCCGAATTTTCGGCTCCTATGACTTGAGAACAGTTGGAACATACCCAGACGCTGCAGTACCCTGTCCCAGAACTAGATCAAAAGTATTCCTTGCATATCCTTGCATTGTAGGAGGATCCTGGATAAGGAACCCGACATGAAGGAATAAGCGTGTCTCTGGATGAGCCTCTCTGAGGCGGGCCCTATGCCTCACAGCGGTGCCTAAACACTAGAGTCACTAGAGCCGGAATCAATGTAGGGAGGGTCCTGTGAACTTGCGAAATCAGAGAATCCGTATCCCGGGCGATGCAGGGATGGGGGCTCGAGGGGCCCTTATCCTGCGCCGCAATGTTGAGATATCTCATAACAAACAAGATTGACCCTGATTCGGGATGCCCGATTTACAGGTGGCACACGCTTTTGTCTTTTATGATTTGTCGGTTCCCAAAGGTGCTGCCAGAGTCCATCGGACTTGTATTGCCCCAGTGTTTGCCGACAGCTTCTGTTGCTGTAAGCTTCAGTGCGCGGCACTCGCTTGTGGGTCTGTGTCGATGTTGCAAAAAAAGGCCCACCGAAATTCGCAACCCCGAACATTAAACCCCTAAACCTCAGCTCATCATGTACGCTAAAGCCCCTAGGGATTGCCTTAAGCTTTGATGCCCTAAACCCTAAACCCCAAAACCATTTCGGGGTTTCCGAAATTAGGGGACCCTAAAATAGTACCCTAAACAGTAGGATCCAAGGACCCCAAAATAAGGTACCCCTTATTTTCGGAAACTCCCATTTTTGATGCAGGCATGCAGCTGGGCCCCGATTTGTGGCTTTGCGTGGCGGCTTGGAGGTTTCGGCAGGGGCTTAGGTAGGCCCAGTGCGGAAGCTCAGCCTGGACCCCTAAACCCCGAACCCTAAGCCCATGAATAGAGCTTGAGCTGGACTCTCTCTCTCTCTCTCTCTCTCTCTCTCTCTCTCTCTATATATATATATATACATGGATGCGTTAGAACCAGTTCGTCGGTACAAACTGACGACTTCCGGCTTTCTTGCGGGAGTTGTCCTTGCCGGCGAGTCGCAACTTCGGCGTAGGTCGTCAAGGGCGTGTGCCGCACGATGTTGTAAGAGAGCTGTACCCCCATACTTACCTGAACGGTAGAGAAAGCAGACACGCATCAATGAGTAGAAACACACAGCTCTGGAGAGAACGTTGGAAGCCACCTTGGCATGCTGCTGAACAGCCCTAATCGCCAAAATATACACATCTTCGCCACGACATAAAATACTCAACTCCAGGGCCGTAGTCTACGCCTGGAGCGACGAAACCTCGAGCTGCCAAGATGTAAAGCCACCGCAGGAAGCCAACGCATTGAACACCGATAGCCAGCACAACAAATGCAGGCGCATGGCGGCTTCCGTCCAAATGGACACCTTGGAAAGTCCCTGTGCCGACTTCGCCTGCCAAACTGCGAGGACCTGTGCAAGATTCCGACTGCAGCAAACACTGCTTCCAGCTTGGGTTTCTGTAGGGTTTAGGGTTTAGGGTTTAGGGTTTTTCGGGCTTGAAGTTGCAGGCAGTATAGACCCCGGCTACTTCGCCGCTCCAAGCCTAAATTCCTGAGGGCTTCAACTTGTTCAAGAACTCTGGGTTTCATGTCCCACTTGGCATGACAGAAAAGGATGTAGCTTGCCTGGCTACCCGGCTGCCTGCCTGTCTGCGTGTCATGCATACGCAACACATACATACATGCATGCATACATACACTTATATGTATATGTATATATATATATATATGCATACCTACCTACCTGCCTGCCTGCCTACCTACATACCTACTTACCTAGCCAATTTAACTGCCTACCTGCCGACCTACCTAACTACATACCGACCTGTATACATGCCTACATACACGCATGCATGCATACATACGGCTATAAGATGTTACGTATCTACCTACCCACCTACCTGTATACACGCCTACCTTTCACCTCCCTGCCTCCGTACCTACCCACCTACCCACCTTGCTCCCGTCCTTCCTAATTCTTGTGAGGATTTCTACCTTTATCTGTTACGACCATCAAAGTTTCGCCGCACTCCAGCAATAGGTCCAGCTGTGGAGCATTGTAAAGTTAAATTGCACACGAGCCCAAGGAACAACAACAACAACATGAAATGAGCGCACGAACTAAACACAGCCAAATTCAATGCAAACCAAGAATGCTCGACCCCGAGGCCAGACGAAAAGCCAAAGAATTACGTCAATAGCTACACGGGTGAATCCCAAGACATGAGTAGAATGCATCACAACAACAAGAAGTATGGAAAACCCATCAATTACAAGACTTGTGCCGTCTAAGCCAGCCCCTGTAGCCTATAGTGCCCTGATAGAAGCCTTGAAGTTACTAACGAACCCAACCCAGAAAACAAACCTCACCCCTCACCCTGTGCAATAAACAAAAACTGGCAAGGTGTCACCTGGGGCATCTTCCCGATGCACGAGCCAGCGATGACCTTAGCTGGCAGGAGTGTATACACTTTTGTGCAGGGCCCGCTAAGGGTCCCATATCCACCGGGTTTGTACGGGCCCTTTTGTGGTTCTACCAGAGATCTATAGCAGGGCCCATCAGATGTAGAAGCGTCGAGCTTATATCTCGCATTCGTCGGCGAGACAACAAGGCAGCCGAGTGTGGACGAAGAGCATTCGAAGTCCACATTCCGAGCTTGCAGCGGCGAGGAAGCACTGCAGGAGACCCCTTTGGCAATAGAAGAAGGTCGCACAACGTCTGCTGAACCGAAATCATTTTTGACTGCACTCCCCCCAGCGTGGACACCGATCGATGTCACCACGGCGACGACAACAGATCAACAACTACAGCTGCAGCTGCTTCTGCAGCTGCTGCTGCTGCTAATGCTGCAACGACTACTACTGCTGGTACACGAGGCCGACACCGATTCGCTGCCCCAACATGCTCAACACCATGTAGACCGATGCGTGATAAAGCGACCCCTTACGAATCAAGGGCTCGGGGCTTTAAGGAATTAAGGGTTTGGTGTTGGGAATTGTGTCCCGGCCAGCAGAAACCAAAGAACTCTTGTGCTAGAAATCCCAACCCCAAGCCACACCACCACCCGAAGCCACGACTCTGTAGACGCAGCCCTGAGCAAACAACTCCACGACCGATTGAGCAATGAACCCCAAGCTTTAAACCCTTTTCACAATAAACCCTAAGTTTACCCTTTTAGCAATAAACCCCAAACCCTTTTAGCAATAAACCCTAAACCCTTTTAGCAATAAACCCTGAACTCTTCGCACAATAAACCCCAAACCCTCCCTTTAGCAATAAACCCTCAATCCCTTTCACAAAAAGCCCTAAACCCTAGGGTTTAGGGTTTAGGGTTTAGGGGTTAGGGTTTAGGGTTTAGGGTTTAGGGAAGCCCGACTCTTGGCCCCCTGAAGCTGCCAGCTGCTCGTGGCTGAGGGTCTGACCGCAATCGACAATGCCTTGGAGAGCCTCGGATCTGCTTCGGTTTAGGGTTTTGGGTTTAGGGTTTAGGGTTCAGGGTTTAGGGTTTAGGGTTCAGCTTGCAAGACATTGTTGGGGGTTTCAGAGGGCCTTACTAATTAGAATAGGGTTTTGTGGCATATTATACGAAACTTTGGGGTTTGAGAGGGTAATAAAAAGGGGCCTGAATAATTAGGATAGGGTTTTGTGGTATATTATCCTATAAGGAACCCCCCAAAATCCCATTCTATTTATTAAAGCCCGTACATTACCGGCTTAATGGCTTAAACCCTAAACCCTAAACCCTAAACCCTAAACCCCTAAACCCTAAACCCTAAACCCTAAGCTTTCTTGCTCGAAAAAAGCTTCCCCCATGAACCTCCAGGAAGATCTCCGGTCCAGCGGACGCAGCCCTGCGTGAAAGACCACGGGCATGCATAAGGTTTAGGGTTTAGGGTTTAGGGTTAACTGGTGCGGAATAAGCAGTGAACCCCCCCGTTAAAACCTCTAAACCCTTCGATTGAACCCAGACTCTGCCAATCATCAACCCTTTTGCCTGAACCGTAAACCCTAAACCCCCAAAAAACCTCCTATTGAACCGTGAAGTAGCCTCCCACGGCGAGAAGCACGGGGCTGCACACAGCAACTCCCGACACGCCTGGAAGTAGTCAAAACACCAACTATCCAAAGGTCCTAAGGCCCCGCCTTTAAACATCTAAGTTTCTATTCCTTGTTGAGTTTTAAGGACCGTAAAATGTTACTCAACTATGACAAAGAAATGGCCGTAATCATCGCAACACGCTTCCGGGAGCACCAGTATACAAGCACTGGGCTCTGGGCTCCTGGTGGGAGGGAAACAGAACAAGATCCTTTCTATGGGCGCCATGCATGGGAAGTCATCGCAGTACTTCTCCTGGCCTCAGATCACACAGTTCCTGAAACTCTGGTCCAAAACCCCTGAACCATACATAAGCCCTAAATGCGTTTAGGGTTCAGGGACCCCTGAACCTAACCCTTAATCCTTCTTGAGGTCCTGACCTTCAGCATGCATCCAGCGTCTAAACGTCAACGCTGCGGACCTAGAGACTACAAACCCCTCAGCCATAATGTACGGGCCTTAGAGAAAAAAAAACAAGCTTTGGAAGTACAGTAGCAAGTGTAACTGCATAGAGACCATCATTAACCAAGGCAGTGTCAGTAGTGGTGTACATTCTAGTCGAAAAATCCTAAGCCCTCAAACCTAAGTTCACATCACTAGTCCTAAAGGATCATACACTACCCTATTTAGGGTGCCTATTCTTCTACATAACAGTTCCCAACCATAAACTGCGTACCTTTCAAAAAAAGGGGGTAGAGTATGACCCTTTAGGTTCCATTCAATCCCCCCCTTTCTTCGACAGCCCCGAGCCCAGTAGCAGGATTTCAAGACTGAAGTCATCGATCCTCCGAGACAACGAGAGCATGGGGGTGTAGGGTTTAGGGGTTCAGGGTTTTTGTGAAGGTTCTTCCCTCTCGCATGGCTGAGAACAATGCTCACGGCTGTGAAGGTTTAGGGCTTAGGTGCTTCTTTTGCAGTGGTCTATCAGGGGTACCTATCAAAAGGGTGACTATGAGGGTTTAGTGAAGGGCCTCATGATTAGGATCGGGTTTGCGAGTACAAAACAGCATGGTATAACGAGGAACGGTAGGGAATAGTATGAGTACTTTTTCGGCTTCTTGACGGGTGCACTACATTGGGGTTCCTGCTTCTTTGGGTGGGAGGGTTGTGAAAAAAGTTATCAGCGCCAAATAAGAAGTCTATGCGAGAGGTAGTTCTCTCGATTAAAGCTTTTTGGCGAGGCTTAGAAAAGCGTTATCGGGTACTTTGTGGCAAGTTCCTCGTGTTGAGCAGGGACGAAAGGGCCGCTGTCCCTTGGGGACCCCACACAGACCCTATGTACTTGGAGGGGCCAGGAGGGCCAAGGGCCTAAGTGGGCACGAACATTGCACCCTGTCTAGAGTCTAAACTGTCAGTGTGTTTACTAGTGCAATTTGGGATGCATACTGGACTCTCGCAACTCGGGCAATGGGATGCATATAGGGTCATCTGCGCTAGCTTATCGTGGTGGTAGCACTACACAGGCGTTCCCTTAGTTATG